CGACCAGGCCAGCAGAGGGGGCAGTTAAGGGTGACCAGGCAGGCAGGCAGGTGAGCAATTAGGAGCCAGTGGTCCAGGATTGTGAGAGGGATGTCCAACTGCCAGGTTAGGCCTGATTCCCTCAGCAGTCGAATATCCCACAAGCAGTACCAGGACTGCAAGAGGGCACAGGCCGGGTTGAGGCCCCCCAACCCCACCGTGCATGTATTTCATGCACTGGGCCTCTAGTGTTGAATAAGAGTGGTGAAATCAGGCATCCCTGTCTTTATTCCTGTTCTTAGGTGAAATGGTTTTAGCTTTTACCCATTGAGTATGATACTGGTAGTAGGTTTGTCATATATGGCCTTTATAATGTTGAGTTATGATCCTCCTATTCCCACTTTGCTGAGAGTTTACTTCCTCTTTTCCAATTTGGATGTCTTTTATTTGTTCTTTTTGTCTGATTCCTGTGGCTAGGACTTCCAGAACTCAATTGATATAATCATGTGATTTTTGTCTTCCAATTTATTTATGTGATGTATCATGTTTATTGATTTGTCAATCTTGTACCAGCTTTGCATCCCCGGAATAAATCCTACTTAGTCCTAGTGTATGATCTTTTTAGTGTGTTGCTGGATCCAATTTGCTAATATTTTCTTGAGGATTTTTGCATCTATGTTCATCAGGGATAATGGCTTGTAATTATCTTTCTTAGTAGTAGTGTCTTTATCTGGTTTTGGAACTAGGCTAATGCTGGTCTCCAAAAACCAGCTTGGAAGTATTACCTCCTCTTGTATTTTTTTTATTTTGGAATAGTTTGAGGAAGATAGCTCTTAATGGTTCTATGAAGATTTGGGAAAACTCCCCTCTGAAGCTGTCCAGAGGACAGCTTTGGTTTTTTGAGAGTCTTTTTATTACTGCTTCAATTTCATCATTTCTTATTGGCCTATTCAATTTTTTTTGATTCTTCTTGATTCAATTTTGAAAAGTTGTATTTTTCTAGGAATATGTCCATTTCATCCAGGTTGTCCAGCTTGTTGGCATATTTAGTTGTTCATTGTATTTTCTTACGATTCTTTGTATTCTGCAATATCAATTGTTATTCCACCTATTTTGTTTCTAATTTTATTTATTTGGGTTCTCTCTCTTTGTTTCTTGATGAGTCTGGCTAAAGGTTCATCAATCTTTTTTATCTTTTCAAAGAACCAGCTCTTGGTTGCATTGACCTTTTGTTTGTTTATTATTTGATTAGTCTTTATGTTATGTGTTTATTCTCTGATCTTTATTATTTCCTTCCTTCTACTTACTCTGGGATTTTCTTGTTGTTCTCTTTCTAGATATTTAATTTATAAGGTTAGATAGTTAATTTTTCTTATTTCTTGAGGTTGGTCTGTAGTGCTGTGAACTTCCCTCTCAGGATTGCTTTCACTGTGTCCCATAAGTTTTGGGTTGTTGTGTGTTCATTTTTATTTGTTTCCAAGATGTTTTTATTTCTTCCCTGATTTCATTGGTAACCCATACATTGCTTAATAACATGTTATGTAGCTTCCATGTGTTTGAATGTTTTGGAGTGTTTTTATAATAGTTGATCTCTAGTTTTATGCCATTGTGATCAGAGAAAATGCTTGATATGATTTCAAGCCTGTTGAATTTGTAGAGACTTAGTTTGTGTCCTATCATGTCATCTGTCTTTGAGAATGTCCCCTGTATACTTGAGAAGAATCTATATTCTGTAACTTTGAAGTGAAATATCCTGTATATGTCTATTTGATTGATTTGATCTAGTGCAGTGGTTCTCAAACTTCTGTCCCTTTAAATACAGTTCCTCATGTTGCGACCCAACCATAAAATTATTTTCGTTGCTACTTCGTAACTGTAATGTTGCTACTGTTATGAATCATAATGTAAATATCTGATATGCAGGGTGGTTTTAGGCCATCCCTGTGAAAGGGTTGTTCGACCGCCAAACGGGTCGCGACCCACAGGTTGAGAACCGCTGATCTAGTGTGTCATTTAGGGTTGCTGTTTACTTGTTGATTTTTTGTCTAGAAGGTCTATCCAGTGAAGTCAGTGGTGTGTTAAAGTCCCCCACTATTATTGTATTGCTATTGATCTCTCCTTCTAAGTCCTCCGGGTGATTTTCCTATATATTTGGGTGCTACTGTGTATGTATATATGTTTACCAGGATTATAGCTTCTTGTTGGATCAATCCTTTTTGGTATTAAGAAGATGACTTCAGACTTGGTGGCTGTCCCTGAGCAGCTCGACTTCTCTCGTTCACGCACCTCACTCGGCGTCCTCTGCAACCATGTCTGACAAACCTGATATGGCTGAGATTGAGAAATTCAATAATTCAAAATTGAAGAAGACAGAAACGCAAGAGAAAAATCCACTGCCTTCAAAAGAAACGATTGAACAGGAGAAGCAAGCAGGCGAATCCTAATGAGGCACTGTATGTTCCACAAGCCTTGCCTTCTTATTTTACTTCTTTTAGCTGTTTAACTTTGTAAGATGCAAAAAGGTTGGATCAGTTTAAGTGACTGTGCTGCCCCTTTTCACGTCAGAACTACTGACAACAAAGGCCGCACCTGCCACTCCCATCTGCCTGGCTGGCTGGCTGGGAAGGGGGACAGCTTGCATGTTGGGGAAGGAACGAGCTGGGTGGGACGAGGGTGAAATCTAGAGTTAAAACCAAGCTGGTCCAAGGGGTCCGGCAGGCTGTAAAATGCAGTTTAATCAGAGTGCCATTTTTTTGTTGTTCAAATGATTTTAATTATTGGAATGCACAATTTTTTAATATGCAAATAAAAAGTTTTAAAACCTGAAAAAAAAGATGACTTCACTGTGTCTTTTTATGGCCTTCATTTTGAAGTCTATTTTGCCAAATATGAGTATTGCAACCCAACTTTTTTTTCTTTTCCATTTGCATGAAAAAATTTTCCCCCATCCTGTGTGAGTCTTTTCGTCTAATATGGGTTCTTGTAGACAGCATATATAGATATGGCTTATGTTTCTTTATGCACTTAGCTACCATATGTCTTTTGATGATAGCCATTCTGGTAGGTGTGAGGTGATATATCTCATTGTGGTTTTAATTTCCATTTTTTTTCTGATGATTAATGCCATTGAGCATCTTTTCACATGTCTATTGGTCATCTGTATGTCCTCTTTGGAGAAACGTCTTCAGGATCTTTGGCCATTTTTTAACTGGATTGGTTTGTGGGTTTTTTTTTTTCTTTTTTTGGTATTGAGTTGTATCAGTTCTTTATACATTTTGTATATTAACCCCTTATAAGACATATCATTGATGAATATGTTCTGCTGTTTAGTGGGTTGTGTTTTCATTTTGTTGATGGTTGCCTTAGAATATTTTATAATATATATCACTGAGTAAAATAAAATTAATTTAAAACTTTTATGAATAGTATATCCCATTAATACATTAAAATATTTATTTAACAACATTTACATAGTACTTTCTAAATACAGATCATTTTTTGAAATCCTAGAAATGTAAAGGTAAAAATTAAAACAATGCTAAGTGAAATAAGCCAGTGGGTGAAAGACAAATACCATACGATCTCCCTTATGTGTGGCATCTAATGAACAAAATAAATTGATGAACAAAATAGAGAGGCATGGATACATAGAACAGACTGATGGCTGTCAGAGGGTTGCAGAGAGAGGGGACTGGATGAACGAAAGAGAAGAGATTAGCCAAAGAATATATATGCATAGCCCATAGACATATACAACAGAATGACTATGGCCAGAGGGAAGGGGGAGCAAGGGTGGGGGAAAGACGGGGGACAAGGGGGCAAATGGACATGTATAATAGTGTAAAAAATAAAAATAAAATTTTTAAAATGCAATAAAATTAAAAATTAGAAGATTTTAAAGAAACAAAGAAAAACATCACTGGCTCTCTCATCTGTTCACTTGTGGTTTGTACTACTTTATTAAGATAAATTACCTTTTTTTGAGAGAAACATCCAAACTCAGATGTGTTAGTAGCCCTATAAACTTGCCTTAAAAACATTTTGGACTACCTAATTTCAAATTTCCATTCTAACACTTATTATTTGGAACCAGGAACAAGTTTTTCAATTTCCATGTTTCTCAACTTCTTTATGCATAAAATGTGCTGATAATAAAGAAATTCATATATCACAGGATTGATTTTAGAATTATATAAAATAATGAATGAGCTGAACATATGTAAAATTGTATTATTTTGAAAATTCATTGTGACAATAAGCATTTCATTAGAATTAAACACTTTCACCTAATACCTATTCTTTTAGACATTTCTATGTACCCTTTTCCCCCATTTGTCTGTTACTAGCAGAAATATAGTTAAAGTACTTTATTAATGACAACTGAGCTTATAAGGAACCGGATTAGGCAAACAAGTAAAACTTTCTATACTATGTTATCAATTGCATTATTCCCAGCTATTTGTTTTACAACGCTACTGAATGACTATATTATGTTTAGTGAAAAGAACTTTAAAACTTCTATTAGCCCAGCCAGAATTGCTCAGTGGTTTACCTTTGACCCATGAAGCCAGAGGTCACTGTTTTGATTCCCTGTCAAGGCACATGCTGAGTTGTGAGCTCGATCCCCAATGGAGGGCTTGGAGGAGGAAACCCATCAATGCTTCTCTTTCATCATTGATGTTTCTATCTCTCGCTCCCTCTCCCTTCCTCTCCCTCTAAAAATCAATAAAAAACATATTTAAAAACTTCTATTAGATAGGTAACTCTGGGAATACTAAATTACCTGAATTTCTCAGTTTCTTCTAATGTAAAATTGTAACAATGACATCTACTTTGTAAGAGTAGAAGGAATAATTCATTTGATAAATAGCTTTAAGGAGGTACTATGTGCAAGATATATTGTTGGACCCTTGATATATAAAACATATGGTATCACTGCCCTCACAGGGCTTATTTTCTGCAGAAGAGAGGGACATTAAACAAATCAACACAGAATGAAGTACAAATATAAATTGAATTAAGTGAATATGAAAAAAAAAGGAGTTGTGTGATGAGAGCGAAAGCTGGGATAACTACTTTCTATGGGAGCATAAGACATTATTTTGGATTAAATTATATTTAAGTTTAAATCAGAATTATGTATAGTGATTTAATTTTTAAATGGTTTAAGTTTATAACAGGAGCAGGAAATTTTATTTGTGAACACTTGAGCAGAAAATTAGTTAAAGTAGACTTAGTTAAGATTGAAAATGAAATTAGAAATATAATCAAATATAAAATAATGAATGAGCTGAACATATGTAAAATTCTATTATTTTGAAAATTCATTGTGTTTTAGGCTTTAAAATCCATATGGTTTTATAGGCCATATTAAGGACTTCGCATGAGACAATTATGTGTTTAAATAAGAGATAGGTATGTCTAAATGTTCATGTTAAAAAATATTTCCTTGTTTTCTCTTGGGTAAAAAAAGATTAATAGAGGAAATAGTTAAGAAGTTAGATGATTTATCAGACTGCCCACAGCTCAGGAAATAGTAAATGATAACTTTTTCAATTAATTGATGGTCAAGGCAATGGAGAATGGATGGCTTATATAGATGTAGCTATGGAATGGATGTAGGTAGAATCAAGATTAACTCCTGGTTGGTGAGATACAGGAAGTTTGAAATATAAAGATATCAAAGATGGATTCCAGATTTGAAACCTGAACAAATGTGTAAATATAGGTTGGTGCCATATTTAAAAAGTTCAATGATGAGGAAGAAAGATTTGTAAGGAGAATATAAACTAGTTCAGATAATTCCCATAATAACATGAACTCAATAAATAGTAGCTATTTTTATTTTCATTCACTAAATCAATCATTGTACAAATATTTCTTAATCTCCATTTTATGAAAGACACTTTGGCAAACTCTGGGTATATAAAATTAAAAAATGCTAACAGGTTTACTGCATTCATATAGCTTATAATTTAATGCCATGTTTAAAATAGTGCATTTCTTTTCCTCTTATTGACAATAACTGTAATAACTTACATTAGTGAGGTACTTTACAGTTACAGAGCATATTCATATGTCCCTTAAAATTATGAGTTTAAATACCCTCATTGATTGAAATTGACTAATCCAAAAATTAATATTTTCTATTCTTTCTTACCATTTGTTCATATCAAATGGTGAGTAAAACCATGTAACTTTTAACAGCAATCAGTTTAACAGCAATGCTGTATACTTCTGAGAGTAATATACATCTTGGTAATAGTCCCAAGATCTTTATAGTGTAGATGTTTCAGTCATAGTGCACCTGTTTGTAAAAGAAAATATATCTGTAAACTAAGACAGACTCTTCTGAAAAATTATCTCCAAGCCTTCAGGATCAAATGATACATATATCCTAATCATTTCAAATACAAGTCTAATTAGCAAAAATCACATTTCTGTATACTAACAATAAACATGAAAACTGAAATTGAAAACACAGTATCATTTATAATTGCTTCAAAATTTAAATGCTTAGGTATCTATACTAATAATACACAAATATGTAAATTGACTGTACCTCTATAGTGCCCACAGTCAATCAGGAGGGGATATGCAAATTAGTGGGACAAAGATGGCGGCAGCCATGGAGCCAGCCAGAGTGGCCGCTGAAAGAGGGTCCTGTGGGTGACGGGTACAAAGCCATCCTGAGCACATGGGAGGCTTGGGTCGCCCAGGCTGTCTGTCGAGGGAGGGACCTGCAAACGGCCATCAGCCCCTTACCCAGGCTGGCCATGACCCCATGGGTTGAGGATCCCCCCTGGGGGGCGTGGCCAGCCCGAAAACAGCCCTCAGCCCCCCACCCCGG